TCAACGGAGGTATTTTGATCCTGCCCCTACGGCGCTTGAAACCAAGGCGCCGCAGCAACCTTCCCACGGCACGATTTGACATCTCTAATCCGTATGAACACTCCAAGTAATCCTTGACGGTACGGCGGAAGACCTCCCGCCTCGTGCTCGCCCTTGGTGAACTCGTTCAGTCCATCCTCTTGCTCCTTAGTGATGACACGTCGCCCGTCGTCGACGCTGTTGGCCTTGCCTTGCCCCTTCCCGTTGGTCTCGTACAACTCCTGCTTGTCATACCAGAGTGTGCGAACCGCCAGGACCTTGTCCGTACCGATCCTCAAGGTTTTTGCGACTTGATAAAGATGGGTCATCCACACAGAGGGAGGGTGGGGAAAAGTTTGTAGTGGGAGGGTGGGAAAAAGTTTGTAAGAATGTAGCGTGTATTGCGTTGCAGTGTATTGCGTTGGTGTACAACAGCCGGTATNTTTTGCGACTTGATAAAGATGGGTCATCCACACAGAGGGAGGGTGGGGAAAAGTTTGTAGTGGGAGGGTGGGAAAAAGTTTGTAAGAATGTAGCGTGTATTGCGTTGCAGTGTATTGCGTTGGTGTACAACAGCCGGTATTAAAGGGGCGGCAGAGTGTGGATAACCGTACAGCGCACGCGAGGAGAATGGTGGTGCCATGCACATGCATACATTCCATTACATTCAGCGGTACAAAGCGCTGCTGTAACTGCTGTACTGGTACACTGCTGTACATCTGGCACCATACCGTCATAAATGCCACTCAAGTATTGTACAGCAGTAATGGGCATCAGCACAGCAGTGCAAGCAATGTGACCATGGGCCGGCAACAGTACTGGCATGATGCACAATATGTTGCGTAGGGCTGTATCAAGCACTGCTGTTGCTTGTACAAAAATCTTGGGTGGGATGAATTATACATCTACAACTGTACCAAAAAAGCACGTGGCGCTGCTGTACTGCACACGACATGCGTCTATGTACTGGTACTTTGCACGCAACAGCCATGTTTCTTGGTTCTCACCTGCTCCTTCGCGTGGTTCTCAGAGCTGTCTCATTTCACCAGGTCGAAGTACAGCATGAGAATCATCCGCGACTGCTGCAGGGTAGGGTGGTGAGCTCGCCAGTCTTTGGCCTCAGCGATTGCACGGAGTCCTCGACAAACTTCAGCGCGAGAGGGGGAAGCTTGGAAGTCGCCGCTTCAGCAGCCTTGCTGACACGATCCTGCTCTCGCCGTTCACGCTGCTGTTGAAGCACGTCCGACCTCGCGATGTCCCGCGCGATCTTCTCCCTATCCCTGGCCACTGACGCCTTCATGGTCTTCACCTCTTCTTCCTTGGCCGCGAGAGCTGCTTGGGCAGCGGCTGTGGCCGCCTCTCTCTTCTCCATATCATCCAGGAGATTGTTGGTAGTCTTTGCATTTCTCGCGGACGCAGCGTTGGCCCTCTTGATCGCTTTAGGCGGACGGCCACTGGTGCCGCNTCTTCTCCCTATCCCTGGCCACTGACGCCTTCATGGTCTTCACCTCTTCTTCCTTGGCCGCGAGAGCTGCTTGGGCAGCGGCTGTGGCCGCCTCTCTCTTCTCCATATCATCCAGGAGATTGTTGGTAGTCTTTGCATTTCTCGCGGACGCAGCGTTGGCCCTCTTGATCGCTTTAGGCGGACGGCCACTGGTGCCGCCTGTCGGTACCCGCCTACCGCGCTTGGTCATGGTGGGTGCCGGATTGGCCAGGTGCCTGGCGTGGACGGCGAGTAGCTCTACAACGGCTGGCTCAAATTCAATTGTATTTTTGGCGTTGTACCGTTGTACCCGCTACAGTAGTGTATGTTGTTATGTTGAGCAGATTGCGACAGGTTCTCTTTCAGAACCTAATTTGTTATCCCGAACCGCAACAGGTATGCCCGCTCGAAAATTGCTGCCATGAAGGGCCTGCTTTTAGCGCCGTTCACTTCGTGCTGTGACAATTCGATGGGCATGAAACCAGCGTCATTCGACAGCTGATGCAACAGGCTTTCTGGTGAACCCGCCCAGTGTGTCTATTGCTTACTTATTGCGTGCAAAAGTTGCAAAAGAGGACATTTTGAGATAGTATTTTTTTTTGAGAGAACGGGAAGTGCCCAAATTTGGTCTTCGTGATTGATTAGTAGTGTGTTCTACCGTAATAATAGTGATGACGTACCATTACAATACATCGCTGGTTGGTGGCCATGTTTGCGTGTCTGCTTGTCGTTAGTGGTCTCTCCAACGCGTGCCTTTTTCTGTCTCTTATTTCTTGTTATTTTTGGCCTGGTCCCTTTTTGTCCTCGCTCTCTTTATTTCCTTTTCATTTGTTACGATGTCTTCTTTTAGGCTTTTTTTAGGCTGTCTTTTTTTCAAAAATGACAACTGGCCAAATAGACCCGTGTTATAGGCTGTCAAATAAGGTTCGTTGTCAAATTTCAGCAAGAAAAGACGTTGTGACACCGGGCTATTTGGCTATTACTGTTTCCTTTTATTTTCTTCTCTTTTTCGCTTGTTATCTTTTTCTCTCTTTTNCTCCAACGCGTGCCTTTTTCTGTCTCTTATTTCTTGTTATTTTTGGCCTGGTCCCTTTTTGTCCTCGCTCTCTTTATTTCCTTTTCATTTGTTACGATGTCTTCTTTTAGGCTTTTTTTAGGCTGTCTTTTTTTCAAAAATGACAACTGGCCAAATAGACCCGTGTTATAGGCTGTCAAATAAGGTTCGTTGTCAAATTTCAGCAAGAAAAGACGTTGTGACACCGGGCTATTTGGCTATTACTGTTTCCTTTTATTTTCTTCTCTTTTTCGCTTGTTATCTTTTTCTCTCTTTTTCTGTGCCAGATGGCCTTGTTTCTGCTTGCGTTGTGAAGTACCAAGATTGAACCAAGGGGGTGTACCTCATTCTCTCCGGCCCGTGATGGTGACCCCTAGTCTCAGTTGTTACCTCGCATAGCGCGCAGAGGGAGTGGAGGACTCCAGAATATCTGTCGTTGATTTCTATTGACTTGAGGACCCCTCGGGGCCATTTTGTTTGAGTGTACCTTTTTAGGGTAAGTTAGCCTGCGACGACGGGAATCGACCGCGTCGAGTGTTGGATCAGTACGGGCATACGAAGCTACTGGGTAGAGAGAGATCGGAACGGTTTTCAATGTGAAGAAAACAACAACTGCTATACAATTGGGTGTGGAAAAACGAGTATACGCAAGTAGATGGAGGGAAGGAGTAGTTGTGAACTTGTTCAAGAAAGGAGACAAGACTAACCCAGGAAACTACGGAGGGATCACACTGTTAAACACAGTAGGAAAAGTGTTCTGCAAGCTGCTGAACGATAGGATAGTGGGNGCATACGAAGCTACTGGGTAGAGAGAGATCGGAACGGTTTTCAATGTGAAGAAAACAACAACTGCTATACAAGTGGGTGTGGAAAAACGAGTAGACGCAAGTAGATGGAGGGAAGGAGTAGTTGTGAACTTGTTCAAGAAAGGAGACAAGACTAACCCAGGAAACTACGGAGGGATCACACTGTTAAACACAGTAGGAAAAGTGTTCTGCAAGCTGCTGAACGATAGGATAGTGGGAGTATTGGAGAAGGAACATAGCATGAGTGAGGGCCAGGCAGGTTTCCGCAAGAAGAGGGGGTGCGTGGACCACGCATTCGCGGTAGGGATCATCCAAGGTAGAAAGAGGGCGGGAAAACCGACGTACTGCTTCTTCCTGTGAAAAAGGCACACAACACCGTATGGAGAAATGGGCTGTGGAAAAAACTGCCCAAATACGGGATCAAGGGGAAAATGTGGAGAGTGCTGAAGGAGATGACAG